AAAAATTTTGGGGGGGGTTTCCCGGCGGGAGGGGAGGGAAAAAAAAAAAAAACCCCCACACAAAAAAAGGCCCCCCCCCCCCCCCCCGGGGAAAATCGCGGGTCCTCAATGGATGCAAATACCTCGAGATAGATAAAGATGGCAAGCCTTGGAGGAGGCCTTTACCGGAGAGGATTCCTGATTCATACTAACTGTAAAAGATATTCACTAACACATGAGATAATTAGTTATTTTTGTATTAGGAAATAAGTAAGGCTAATAATTTAAAAAAAACAATACTTAAACAGTTGGAGGTTCTTCTTTTTTTTTTTTTTTTTTTATGGCTCTGGCACGATTTGTGCATTAGCCAGCGTCAAGTATAGGACTTTTTATAATTCGTGCTCGTCTTTTAGAAATTCGACAGTGCCCTTAATGTACGGTTTAAGCACTCGCCCGGTACCGCACAACCCTCCCAAAGGCCGAGAACAAATTTGAATTAAATTAAAACTTGCCCTCGAACCGGGAATCGAACCCGGTACCCCTCACCTAGCTGCCACTTAATAAGACCGCTAGGCTATGAGGCCCCCTAGGTTCTTCTTCTGTATCCCCCAGGGAAGACCCCCACGGGGAATTGAGTCAGGAAGACTTCCAAGGTGATAATTTATTAGTTATGTTATTATTTTAAAGATACTATGTAGACAAAGCCGCGAGAAGCCCGTAAGCATTGTGTTATAGTTTCAAAAGGCCATACTAATGACCCGTATTAACTTCAATCGGTAATAAAATTGGGTTCACCGCAATATTGACTTAATTCGCTACAATCATTTCTGAATCAGACACGCAGATTGTTAGAACTTTGAACGTCCTTTTGCAGGTGAAAAAGGTTAACAGCCTTTAATTTTAAAGAACAGACAAAGAAGAAATATTCAGATTTCTGTATCTGTTACGTGATTTTTTGTTTAATAGGTAAGTCAGCCATCTGTGCCTGATGTTGTCAGCCTTACGAGTATTAAATGCTTACATACAGAAAAGTCTATTGGTGATCAGCTGGGGTTCGAACGACCACAAGGATAAGAGATGCACGCTCAAAGCACCACCAACACTGCTCTTGGGGTTTTACACTCATAGATAATAATTTCTGTCAACAATTTATGTATATCATAAATCGATGATATTTTGATTGACTTATCCCACTGATTTTATTAAGACATGATGATGAAAGGCACTGCTTTTGTTTGATACGAAAACTAAAGCAATATTTTTTCCATTCCATTTTTACCAACGAATAATGTCTAAAGGAGTCTCTCAGTTTGACTTAATCAGTCAAATGTGCTTAGAGCTAATTTAGGGAACACCGGGGGACGTAGAAATCAGTGCCGAGAAATTTTAATACAGATCAATTCTGACTTGAACCAATTATTTTCAAAATATGATAGAAATACTACTATTATTATTACTAATAATTTAAATCACTGGTGCATCCACTGAGCAGCGTTAATGATTTCATAGAAGATGTGGTAAACATATAATAAAATTTCTACCTCTAAACGTTTATGTATCTACGCCTGGTAAACTAATAAATTAAAATTTCCATAGACGATAACAGATTACACTATAGTATAGACCATACAATTAATATACATGTGCAGACTTATAATTGAAAAATAAAAACTGCCATCTTCTTGAATAGAAACGTCATTATTTCTTGGAAAAGATAGTAATTAATCCGCCATATTAGTTAATTGTTCCCGCCTTTTTCGTTCGTTCCGGTAGCTACTGCGATACGCTTCACTCGCGATCGGATAACCACACTAATTATTCGCAACAATTATATGTTTTTTTAATATATTTAATGAATAATTTTAAAAGAAGTTAATGAGGTGTTTCCGTATATTTTGCTTAATTAAGATGTTTATATTACTGGTAATTATTAATATACGATTTCAAAATGATAGTACTTAATACCGTAAATATATTGACAATGGTGTGAAGCCATCATTTTAATTTTTTGTCCAGGTTTTCCGCATAAAGTTTTTTTTCAAAACATTGGTGCCCTCTTCGTTGCACACAGAAATATAATAAAAATGATATAATTTAATGAAAAGGAGGACAACTGGCAGCCTTATCGATTTCGAGCTATCTCTTCCAGCAACCACTGTAAGAAAAAAGTTAAATTAGATAAAGTTAGCAAGAAATTCAAAAATATACATGTAATACATATAGTTATTTGGACAAAACTAAAACAGAAACTAAAACTTTACCTATATTAAATAAAAATCAACCATAGTTGTCAACATTTCAAATTAATTTATATTATTCTTAGCTGTTTGTCAATATATCAGATGTTCAGGGTTTTTGTATTTACAAAATACCAACGTTCGACACTCTGGTACATTGGTACATAAAGAATAAGATTTAATGTGATGTGAAAAATTAGGTAAATAAGATAAAGTTAGCAAGAAATTCAAAAATATACATGTAATACATATAGTTATTTGGACAAAACTAAAACAGGAACAAAACACTAAAACTTTACCTATATTAAATAAAAATCAACCATAGTTGTCAACATTTCAAATTAATTTATATTATTCTTAGCTGTTTGTCACATATATCAGATGTTCAGGGTTTTTTGTATTTACAAAAGCTTACCAACGTTCGACACTCTGGTACATTGGTACATAAAGAAAATAAGATTTAATGTGATTTGTGACAAGCAACTTATATAGGTAAACACAACAAACACGAAGAGAAAAAATACATTGATTCATAAATTATAAAACTAAAGAAAATTGATTTGAAAGCGTGAGGGGAGATATCCAGACCTCGCTCGTTTATCAGAATGCACATTTGGATATCGGTGAGTTTTGACCAAACGCGTTCTACATACTGAAAGGACAAATAGATGACTGGATACTTGGCGCATCTAGTACTAGTACTAGTACTAGTGTACCCTACACAACAAATTACAATTAATCTCAAAATATTAATAATAAGATAGGAGACAATTACGGGCCACTGTCTCCTTAATAAACATTTCGTTGTGTCTCGCGTCTAGAATGCGACAGACAGTCCTGTCAGTGCAGAGCCTGTTTCAGAAATGCTCGGAGCAGCTCCGTGAAGACTGTGAAGTGCCCTGGAAACTTCTGAGCTTCTGAAATTGAATCCACTACTACTACTAATGTCTAATAGAGGGTACACGAAATTTAAATTTTGTTTTTAATTTTAAAAAGATTAGACGTATAGCTTCATCCAAGTTTGAAAACATATTTGTGTGAGTATTTGAGTGAGGGAGGTACAATTCAGTACCTGTATTTGCTATTTTGCGATTTTAGAAAAAAGTGCAGTTTTGAAATTATCGAAACTATCTTTCAGAAGCTACTCGATGAGATTAATTATACGAGAGTAATTTTAAGGTACAAAAATTTGTGGCTCGTTTATCTACCCCGTTGTTGAATCTTTGTATTATTTTTGACATTTACATCACTAGGTGTATATATAATTTAAATGTTGTTAGGATAAGGAACTTAGATGGCGCCACATAGGCCTGGTATTTTGGTCGATTAGCTTCTTGGATTGTCTTTCTTTTTAATTAGGTATAAGTGTCGCAATCAGAGAAAAAAAGCGAAAACATTTAGACAGATATGCATGCTTCTCCAAGGACAAAGTAGGTCTTAATTATAAGCAGTAAAGTGTGAAAAATAATTGGACCAGGGAGGAACAACATTTATAATTGTCATGACATGTAATTGTGAGTAGTCACAAAAATGAGAAACGTTTAGCGAAATCTCGTGTTTCAAGTCGTAAGTGCACATAATTTACATATGTGAGACCAGTTATGTAATTTCAGATTTCACATACAAATCGTTGGGCGAGGCACTGCGTGCCTCGGGTGGTGGGCGTGCGGCAAACAGCCAATAGTCAGGGATTTTTCGAACCTACAAATATATTATTATTAGCTGGGTAATTGAGATGTTTTGCATAATTTTAACATAAAATCATCGCGAATTAAATAGATAAAAAATTCTTGGTTTAAAACACCACTATGTTTTAAACTGCTTTTATAATATAGCATAGTTATTAAACTTAGCAAGTTCATAGAGACAAAGACAAAGAGGTCAGGCAAGGTCCCAAACTCTCTTCTCGCGTCAAACTCTGGCTGTGCACTTAAGAAGGTTACCTCTTAAAAATTCAAATTCTCCTTTTTCTTGATGCACATAATTTTAAATTACATAATGTTGTTCACGTTTTGCTTAAGCCCTCCGTGATTGAGTAGAAGTGCGATCGTACACGCTCTGTGTACCTTTACCGTTTTCATAATGTATTGTCTACAATAAACAATTACTAACGCCATCTAGTAGTGAGTAGACCAAACAAATATCTGTTAGGTGATATTTTTTAACAATTTAGCGTTGCTATTTTGAAACTACTTCAACATACATATTATAACATTCATTAACAAATAAATCATTATGAAATCAGCACTTTATAAAACAATAACTAAATAAATGTTTTTTTAAGCTGCCTTGTTGACACAGAGACGAAAGTGTTTAAGCAATTTTAAGTTTTGTATTTCTATATGTCGAGTCCTGTCATACTTGACTTTTGTCAAATGCCAATTTTAACTTGCTGATGACGAAACAAGTTTGAAGTTTTAAAATTATTTATTATAATTTAGTTGGTTTTTTTGCTACCTAAAGATCAGTGATATTATTTAAGTTTTAATCGGTCCTTTATTTTCCACAAATATTTATACAGGAAAATATCTCATTGATCAGCCTGCCTGCAACATACCTATTAATAATATTTTTTTATTAATTTGGCTTTTTAAAAACTGCAATTATTTGTGGGCCATTAATTACATTACGAAAGGTAATTCATTTGAGTAGGAAACTATTTAGAGATGCTATTAACTTTCGTACTATGAAGGCTATCACAAATCTATTTTCATTTTAAGGCTTTTCTACTGAAATCAATCTGATTTAGATAATGATAATGACCTAAATTATGATATTTTTTAGATGCAGTTGTCTTTAGATCCAAGACGAGCAGATCGCGAGCGTCACTACAAACCACCACCACCTACCTCAGCACCAGCTGAAGATCTTACTACAGATTATATGAACATACTTGGTAAAACTTAGTATACTTAAGGTTTAAAATTAGATATTGTAATTATATTCCAAGGTTTTGCCTTGACAATACCTTCACATTTATTGATTTATTATGGCAAAAACCATTTTAACAGGAATGCAATGTTGTCTTCATAACAAAGCAGAATATTATTCCCATACCATCTTTTTTACATAACTTAAGTAATGTAGTAATAGAAATTAAAATTGTAGCTGCATACATCACTAATATTAATATATTAAATAACAGGTATGGTATTCTCAATGTGTGGACTGATGATGCGGTTAAAGTGGTGTGCTTGGGCAGCCGTGTTTTGTTCCAGCGTAAGTTTTGCCAATTCCCGGATTACTGATGATACTAAACAGGTATTGTGAGATATTTTATATATTAAAAATAAAAATACTTTATTTTTCATTTTCTACTTGTTTAGTTTGAAAAGTTGTAAACCATTGCAATAATAGCAATTATATAGAAGAAATATACTACTATCAGATATTTATTGACTCATGTAATTTTATCTTTGCAGATCATCAGCTCGTTTATGTTATCCGTATCTGCAGTTGTTATGTCTTATTTACAAAATCCAGCTCCTATGTCACCTCCGTGGGCCTCACTTATATCATAGGTCAATTATGGTTATAGCTTTTAAGATAATAACTTATTTGTATTCTTTAAATGAAGAGTATAGTCCAATTCAACTTTATTAAAATGTTTAGTGTTGCAGGTCAATAAAAATCTAAAAGTGATTACTTTTTTTATTACTTAAAGAAGGCATGGCATGCTTATATTCCCTTATAGTAATGATTCTCGTGTGATGTCAGGCAAATAAGCATATTACGTCTTTTTACGCAGAAGAATGAGAGTGGCTAAAAGTAGTAAAGTACTAAGATTGTAAGTGTCAAAGGCAAATCTTTAAGCAAATGATATGTCATAGAACTGGACTGTGATGAATTTCTAGTTCTAATCTTCGTATATTCATAATAAGGAATAAGATTCAAAGATAACAATCTATGCAATTTGTACATTTGCTACATGTAATGCTAGCTGTACACACTCGGCGAGAGCCTCTCGCCGAGAGTCTCGACCAGCGTTGCCAGATTTCTTTTAAGTCAACTCGGGATTTTACACTTTTAAAGTGAAAAAAGCGGAATTCATTTGTCGAAAGCGGGACATAGTAAAAAAATTTAAATAATCAGATGTTTTTAAATATTTATGTTTTTAATTGAGTTCAAATCACGTTTGCGTGACAATAGACAGCGAAAATAGTCACAGAAAATGTATTTAAATCAGATTAAACCTACCGTTAAATAGTTCTTATTTATCTTCTGATTAAAAAACAAAAAGATCAAAATAAAAAAAGTTTTATTTATTAGAAAAATATAGCGTTTCAAACAATACTCTGAAGAGTGAGTGTTTAAAATTGCAACTTACAATAAGACAGTGATTATTTATAAGAATTACTTATAATATTTCTATGAAGATATAACTTCTTTAAAAGTTTAGTTTTTCTCTTTAAAAAAGACGAAGAACTCTTCACAGGATAGCTGCAGATTAAACTTGATGAGAACCCTGATTTCATTAAATTTACGAAGCATTTCAAAAAGAAGGCGTTTTGGAAAGCAGTTTCATGTTACTCGTAGGATACTTAATATAAAGTTTGAAGATAATCCTGGTATTTTTTTTTTTTGGATACTGTTGAAAGAGTTGGTACCATTATTGTGCGGTGGTGGTAGTACACACTTCTTATTGCCATCGAGTTATTCCCGAAAAGCGGGACATTTCATTTTGATTTAAAAATCGGGACGTCTGGCAACGTTGGTCTCGACCGAGAGAAGAACGCAGCCTGTACACACTCGTTAGTCGTTACGTTAATTGTATTTAAAACACCGTTAATAATGGACTTGGAAACCGCTGCTGCTGTTTGTCTTTGTGCAATAAGTTATTATAATTTTCTTTACGTTTACCATTTAAAAAAAATTACGAAGCCATCGCGAAGAAGAAGATGGTGGATGGTTACTATGCACCGCAACAGAAATAGGTAATTAGGTTCATAAAGTTTTAATATTATCCAAACTTGAACGAGTGTGTACAGGTCGCTTTCGTTTTACTCGTGCGCTAAAAACCGACAGGCGACCGATAGAGGCGAGACCAACTTCAAGACGAGACGAGAGCTCTATTGTACACTCTCGCGCTCGACCTGTCTCGGGGTATCTTGACGAGTGTGTACACTGTACAGCCGGCATAAAATATTATACACATCAGGGGCCTTAGTCAAGATGCCTTAACAGTAGTGTATGTAGAACGTCAAAAACTAAATTTGTATGAAAACTTTTCGACACGAACTGTCATTTCCATACAAATTAAGTTTTGTTTCTACATACACATAAGGCATCTGGACTAAGGCCCCAGGACTCAAAGCTGTCAATGTACGGATTGACAGATTTGTTTGACATTACACATACCGGTGTTGTGTTCAAATTTGCATGGCATGTGGTACCTATATCTTATGATAAAGCTAGAAATATATATTAAATAAATAGTATTAATTCATTTAAATTGAGGAGCCTTATAGAATGTATGTATGAACAAATAACTTTTTTTAATGTTATACCGCGCAAACTTAATTCACTTTTAAATGTATTCTACCTTAATTAGGTTATACTTATAATTATACATAATATTTATCTATAACCAAAATATCATTAAAAAAATCATTAATATTGGATTTAGGTCATTAAAATGCAAAAAGGTTTTATATTTACACAATAACTAAACAATATAAGTATTCTTATTGGCATTTTGATAATTTCAGTATAATGCCACCTAAAAAAGTAGAAGAACCTGAAAAGAAACCACTTATTGGCCGTGTCGGAACAAATTTAAAAGTGGGAATAGTTGGTGTACCAAATGTGGGAAAGTCAACATTCTTTAATGTTCTCACCAAGAGTCAAGCAGCTGCAGAAAATTTCCCTTTCTGCACCATAGATCCTAATGAAAATAAGTATCCAATTTGTTCATCTCATTTTATAATTCACATATTATGACATGAAATTTTATTTTGTTTATTGTTTAGAACTATTTGTATTAATGAGAACTTTAAAAACTTATATTTTTAAACAATTTCTAAATTATATTGTATTAAACTGAGGCTATTTAGACCTAAATCTAACCCTAATCTATAAAATTCCATGTCACACACACACACACAGCAAAAGGGTTATTATTATTATTATGTATATAAACACACTAGCAGCTTAATATGCTGATGTGCGCATATTTTGAGATTTGGTGAAACTATCCAACCTATTTTTAAAGAGTTCAAAGCTGATTACACTTTCCGGAAGCCAATTCCAGTTGGCCACTACTCGGCTTGGGAGAAAGTTCTTTAGGGAATTTGTGTTTTGTTGAGTGGTCTTAAAGAACTACCTCTCAAATGTGTATTTTCACTTATAAATAAAGAGCTTCTCAATTCCTGGAACATTATAGTGGCCAGTGAGGATTTTATAGGTTTCAATGAAATTTCCTCTTAATCTCCTACTTCCTAAATCAGTAAGGTCCAGTGCTTTTAGACGCTCATTATAAGATTTCTTCCTGAGTGACCTGATCATTTTCGTGGCTTTTCTTTGAACCCTTTCAAGCATACTAATACCCTTTATGAAATAACGATCCCAAATGCTGTAGGTTGCTTTAAAGTTTTATATGCCATTTATATAGATTTTTGTAGCATTTCATTTATGTCACATATCTAATTGCAAACTGTTAAAGCTGAATTAATTTTATCCTGGCTACTTATATTCACATCATATAAGTTATATTTAATGAGAAAAATACCTTTTCTTTTAAATTTATTTCAAACAAGAAGTACCTATAAAACAATTCATACAACAGGTTCATTTTAGTTTAAAGCATAAACCTTTTTTAAAAATAAAAATGTAATACTGTCAAATAATTACATGTCAATAAGCAATGCATCAATTTAAAAAGGCAAAATGAATCAATTTGAAAAATATTTTTCAAATGTAGAAATTAATGATGAAAACTATATAAATGGAATAGAAATTTGCAACGGTGTTTGCTTTAGAGGAAAATTTAACTTAATAAAGAAACATGAAAGTGTTTGTAAATGTCATCCACCACCATTAGGTGCTTCAGTTCTTGGGTTAGAGAACACCGATATACCTATTCCAGATAATTTGGAGTTTTTCAATGCTTGGACAGATGCAGATGCGCAAGAAGCATACTTAAAAACAAAACCAACCTGCTATTTAATCTTAGGAAAACCTGGTACAAATTCATATACTTTGGGGGAATCCCTCTCAAAAAAGATGAACTGTGTTCACATTTGTCCAAAAAATGTATTAAATGATGAAATTGACCAAAAAAGTCCTACTGGACGCTGCTTAGACTATAATATGAAACTTAATAAAGTTTGTCAAATTGATAATATACTGCCTATAATGAAAAGAAAATTGGAATCAGCAGCAGTTAAACATAGAGGCTTTGTTATTTCCGGAATACCATTAATATCATATGAAAGAAATTTGCAAACCTATTTTAACAGTCTCCATGGTGAAGAATCTATTGATGTGGTTGAGGGAATGCTCTTCGACATTATATGTAATTTGAAGAAAAAAAAGTCAAAAGCCCAAAGGGAGTCAGCTACATCGTCGGTTACTAGTGGAGTTGGAGTAGGTGAAGAAAATGAGGAGGAGGAAGTAGAAGAGGAACATGAACCAGAACCGGAAGAGGAAGAAGAACCTCGGGTTGAATTGCCAAAACACATATTAGATACATGTTCTAATATAATTTCTAATAAGAAACCTTATTTTGAAATTATGAGAGCCATAATCATTCGTCAGATTGAGGAAGTATTTAACTTTAAGCCAGATATTTTAATACATATGACATGTCCTAACAGTGATTTAATAACAAAAAGAAGTCATAAGTATTTTAACTATTTGACCAATGCCAATACTTTATGCCCATTTACAGTTAATCCTGATAGTGAGGTAAAATGGCCATCAAAATATAATTTGCGAGACTACAATCAACCGTTTGATAGTCATACATTTAATCCTAAATATAACTGTAAGCATCCAAGTAACTTTTCTTATAATGTTGAGAAACAAATATGTAATTTTAAAGATCATCTTTTAGAATTCTTGGACACTAAAATAAAAAGCTGTGATCCAAAATGCATTATTAAATTGGATGGTCGTGTTTCAATTCATCAGATGATGCATAACATCATGGAGAGGATAACTCTACTACCTATAAAACCTGTTTTACTTCCTGAGCCACTATACTTAGAGGAGCCACCAGAAGATATGGATGAATTTTGGAAAACAGTAGAGGAATTGAATGTTGTTAGAACTCAGAATGTTAATTTTAACAGATATTCTTCACAATGGTACAATAGATGTCCCGTGGAGTTAATGAAAAGAAGATCAGTGCAAGGAAATCCTAGATTTGCAGTATCATTTTTTAAACATGTCTATTTATTGTCTTCACTGAATGATATGATATCATTTTGCAGAAATCCTCGACCTTTTCTGAAACTGAAGTACCTAGAGCCCACCTGCAGAATTATTGTTCTAGGTTCAAAATGTTCTGGAAAAACTCTTGTGTCAAATTGCCTGTCGTGGTTGTTTGATGCAACAGTCATTAGTTATTCAGATATTTTAAATAAAGAAACAGAGAAGAAGTACAATTATTACTCAAAGAATATTTTATCAGAAATTATAGCTTCTATTGAAGATGCTCGATTTATGAAATGGGAGAATAGTGAGATTCAGAGAATATCAGACTTGAATATGTGGTTTAATACAAATCACAATATTTTAAATAGATACATACAAGTGTTTCAAGAAGTTTTGACTAAAAGGCAGGGAAGTGAAGTTGTTGGTGGACCTCTATTGAAAAAATTAAACAATTTGAAAGTGAAATTACCGTTTATTCCATTTTTGAATGATATAGAACTATGTCAGGAAGCCGTACAGGGGGAGAACCTGCAGAAATATGCTCCAGCTCATTTGTTAATTGTAACAGAAAAACCAAAGATACCAGTACTTGGTGATGATGATGTTACTAAGGGAATAGCTGAATATATAAAAACAAATGATTTACAAAAGGAAATTGAGCCAACTTGTGAAGAAATAATGACAGAAATTATGAATCACCTTAAAGCTATTGAAAATGAAACTTTTTCGCAAAATTTCGAACCATGTTATGGTAAATTTATAATCGATGGTTTTCCATCTGAAATAGAATATTGGGAATATTTATCTGAAGCTGACATGCTACCTGACTATACCATTGTATTAACTGAAAACCGAGAATTTGATGACGATCTTTTACAGCATTACAAGGGAATAGAAAAAAGCATTAAAAATTACCAAGAGCGATTTCTTAATAGCAACGACTCATTAGTCAAAACAAAGCTTCTCAGAGGTCTTCCTTTAAATTCTACATATTTAAATATGAAAACAACTGTGAATGAAATTATAGATAATATATTAGGTTCGATATCGGCTGATGACATATCTTTAGAAGGCAATGTCAATCCTGATTTACAAATGTTACTCACAGAAGGAATAGAGAAATTTCGAGAAGGTTGGGAATCAGTAAAAGCCAAACTAGACGATAATTCGAAATGGTATGGAGAAGTAGAACTCGAAGGTAAGACTGATATAGATGTCTTAGACGAAGTCTTGTTACGACTGCGAAGAGCGTACTGTACTGTTTCCATTGTTGATGAGGATAGAGATGGTCAGGACCATGACTATGATAATGAAATAAACCAGGACGTTTTAACATACAATGACGACCGCAATTTGTCAGATACCAATATATTTTGTCCAATAGCTTTATTTGATTATAATGTGCTTTGGGAAGGTAAACCCGAATTCAGTGCTAAATATAATAATAAAACTATAATGTTTTGCAAAGAAGAATGCATAGAAAAATTTCAAAAAGATAGCACACGTTTCCAATCCTTAGTAAAACCCTTTAAAAAAAAGCCTTGTTTGAGAATTTGTACGATAGGCAATATAGGTAGTGGAAAGTCTACCTTATCAAGACGGCTAGCTAAAGAATCTGGCTTATTATATGTAAACTTTGACGAGTTTATCAATAACTATGTGATTCCAAAACATTTTAAAAAGGTTGGTTGGCAATATGAAAACAGTTTTGTAGAAAAAACCGTAGAAGAAGAAAATGCAATCGAGTTTCAAATGGATGAGGAGAACGCCAACCTTATGGCGGACTTGCTTTTTAATGAAGCTGAAATAAGAAAAACAATCTTTAATTATTTTGAACAGGGCGTCCCACTGCCATCTTTACTGTTGCAACAAATCTTAAAAATATTGTGGTTTGATGAACCTTACAAGTCAACGGGTATTATAATTGATGGGTTTCCAAAATTGCCAAATGATGTAGAGGATATGGTATCATCTTTTTGCATTCCAAATGCAGTAATAGGATTAGACGCAAGTACAGAAAAAGCGATAGAAAGAATTTCACCAATAATGTTTAAAATGTGGCGAAATCAATACAGAGAGGCAAAGCTGCAAGCTCAGGCAAAGTTCGAATGTGAAAAACAAGAGTGGTTCGATTTTATTACAAAAAATATAGTTATCAAATTGATTGTGGATGAAATGATTGAATTAGTAATTCCCAATGAAAACGAACTTGTACAAAATTTGTCAGCGCAAAGCACAATTTTTGATGCCAATCCGTTAGGATCCTCAAACGTTGATGTAAATTTATTTAACACGTATAACGAGGTTATTCAGGAGTACCCAGCTCCAGTCGATCAAAGTGAATGGGAGAAGCCGGACGATGTTTCAGAGAGAATAAATTCAAGAATCGAAGCCATCTATGAAGTGTTTGAAGAAAATATCCAATCTGCAATGGATACACTGACAGAACAAAGAGTGAAGATTATTGCTGTTAACGGCTTAAAGTCTATAGAAAAAGTATTTAGAAATGCCTTGGACAAATTATCTACTTTGTTAAACAGAAATGAATCGTTTTTAGAACAAACATTTATTATAAATGGCGACATAGCTGAAATGTTGATTTATGAGGGATTTTTCTTTTTAAGCAAGTTTAATAGAATGTGTCCAGTTTTCATATACGATAATCCGTTAATACTACACAACCCATACTATATTCGAAAACGTAAGGGTAACATATTTCCTGTTATTCATCGTGCCTACATATATTTTATTTCATCTGAAGATAATGTTAAAAAATTCAGGTCTAACCCCTTAAAATACATTAAAAGTAGGCGTATCGAGGCGTATGTAGAATATCCCTTACGGATAAGCATTATTGGGCCACCTAAATCTGGAAAATCTACGTTGGCTGCGAAACTTGCGAATCGATTTGGATTACTCTGCGTCAGTAGAGGTACTTCGATTCGACATATTATGGAGAATATGAATTGGACCCAACTTAATTCTAAGATAAAAACATCACTTGAGGGAGGAGATACCATAAACACAGAAGACATTATAAAGTCCATTCAAACCACAGCTATCGACCATAGATCTATATCGTACGGATTAGTATTTGATGGTTTTCCAGAAACAGCTTTTGAAGCTTCTGAATTAGTGAAACACGGTATTTATCCTTCAATTGTTTTCGATCTTAAAACAAGTCTGTCAAAAGCTTTAGAAAATACCCACAGGGAAATACATTTTGATATTATAAAGAAAAAGCCGACGTTTTCGAAAGCATTTGTAGAGTATCGTTTTCGTGAATGGGAAAGAAATAGCTCTTCCGTACGAAAATGGATTAACGGTGACATTCAAAATATTTACGAATTACCTGCAAATGGTACATCGTGGCAGTGTTTTCACACTTCACTGAATATTATTGAAGATATATCAAAGAAAGTTCATCACTACTTATCCAATTACGATTTTAAAGTGGTCAGTGCCGGTGTTATGGGTATCTCGAATGAAATATTTGTATCAAAAATGTCTGATTTTAAAAACTTTTGCCCAATGTGCTTCATGAAGAAAATATATATAAACAACGATCACCCTGTTGATAAATCTGGAGTTGTTCAGTATAGAGATGTATATTACTGGATTTGTCGGAATCACATTAAGGATTTAGATAAATTACCAAACATTCTGTCTTTGCAAATGAAAATAGAAATACCTGAAATCCCAGCTATCGTAAAAAGCATTTACCCTTCACTTGTCTATGAAAATGGAGTATGTATAGTGACATATGCTGAAAATCTTCCATCACAGAATATAATAAAAGGCAACAATAACTTTGCGGCAGTGTACAATGGTCGCTATTACTTATTTTGTAGTTCCAAGTGCCTGGACTCATTTATGCGTAAACCCTACTTATATTTCGACATTGAAGTTTTTAAAGAAACGTCAGGATTTCCCGAGATATCTCTAAAGACCTTGCCGAATCTTGGGTATCTAGAACAAACCGTGGGGAATATGATAACAGCGGCGTGTTGCGCTGTCAATGTAATACGTCCGAAATATCTTGGACTAAACGTTTCCATCTCCGGGGTTATTTATATAGCACTTTATTTCAAAACTCATAATTGTATTGATTCGTCACAATTGAATTTATATAAGAAAGCTTTAAAGGTGTATGAAGCTAGATGTAAGCTTCCCATTGATGTAGGCTTGAAGTTACGATCTATGGATAATCCTTTTGCTGACTATGTAAAGTGTTACGGCAGAATCAAAAGTATTATGGGAACCGACTCTGGTACGGGAAAACAATCGAGTACGGAGACTAATGAAACTTGGAAATAATTATTAATAAATTGTGTTTTTAATAATTAGTTTTATTCCTAAAATTGCTGCGTTCATATTTACAAGGTAATTGTATTTTCTACATTAAGTTATTCCATACAAATGTCTAACCAGATCATTTCTTCCAGCACGTCGTGTACCGGTCCCGGATGAACGATACGATTATCTTTGCCAGTACCATAAACCTGCCAGGTATATTTCCTTGCCTTCAGATATAATAATAATTAAGCCTTATTTATTCCTTGAAACAATTTTTTTAAATAAATAAAAACTTTATTAATGACAAATAGGTTGTGACAAAATTCATCTGTCGCTATTCGCTACTACATAACAATTATTACGTGGTACATGTTTAAAAATAGTTTTTTTGAGAATAAGTATTATTTACAAAAGATACACACTATACAGAACTATCTCTTAAGAGTAAAGCCGGCACCATCTCTCTCTCTATCTTGAGCACTTCCTCGCCAACTTCTTTACGCTCATCAGCTCACCGTGCAAGAAGACGACTCCCCTTTTCTTTGGTGGGCCTTTCCACCATCCATCATCGCATGCGAGCGGTGTGGCCGCCCATTTCCACTTAAGTTTTTTGTTGTCGGATAGTGTATCAAAAAATGTTGTTTTCTTTCTTATTTCTGAACTTCTTATATTGTCTTTTACACGTACGTGAACCAATAAAAAATAATTATTTTATCTCTTACACATACCTATAACCTCGGGCTACAATAATTATGTATATTTGTTCATGAAGTTTAAACGTATTGCGTGAGAGAAGAATAGAGAAGTTGAAACTTTATTATACACTATTCAAGGAGGAACACTGCCAGTATCTTCGGAACCTTGCCTAAAGGGACTCCTTTTAATAATATATTTTAGTTATTATATTTTAAGGTTAGTTATTCTTTTTATTGTTATAAAAAGGATATTTAGGCAATAATTAAGTCCCCATACTAGGATTCCCTGTGTCGCGGGCAGCCAGTCTCTTCCTTTTGACGTGTTAAAGCTAGTTGACAATAATTTCTATATTACACTTGCATTTTATAATTAAACTATTGTTGCACTCTTGTGTTCCTCCTGTTTGTTCTCTCCCCCCCGGGTGTTTTTCCCCCGGGGGGGTGTGGTCCCCCCCCCCCCCCCCCCCTTTTCCTCTTTTTTTTTTTTGTTTGTTTTTTTGTGGGGGGGCGCCCCCCCCTTTTTTGTGGGGGGTTCCCCCTTTTTTTTTTATGGTAATGATGTCAGCGTTCTCGGTAAATTACTCGTCTCTTTTATTTCTTCTTTGTAAGTGCCTAATATATAGTTAATTTTAAATTTTAAACTTATTCACGCTGATTGTTTTAATATGTGATGGTAATTTCCAGTAAAGTGCCTGCGTTTTTAAACGTGGTGGACATCGCTGGGTTGGTGCGAGGGGCGGCCGAAGGTCAAGGACTCGGAAATGCCTTCCTGTCACATATCAAGGCTTGCGATGCAATCTTCAACTTATGTCGTGAGTATTTAATTTAAACTTATTCTTAAGTTTGAAGCATTTGAGGTATATTCTGCCGCGTACCACCACTATGTAGAATCAGCTGCCCACTGAAGTATTACCGAACCATTTCGACTTAGGCTCAAGAAAAGAATATCTCTCACTTTTAAAGAAAATATAATTTTATGAAAACGCCTATAATTTATTTAGACTGTAGAGCAAAAGCGTTTTAAGATTGTTTCACCGTTTAAACATAATTACGGACAACGTAGTAACCGCACTGTTTTTACCAATGTCTAGAACGTAATAATGTATTACCACTCTTTTCGCGGAAATATGGTGAAACATTATTACCACTCTTTGTTTTTAAACTGTAGCACACTAAACTAAAACGATCTTTATGGTGGTTGCAATCTATTTCAGGAAAGTAAAATTAGGTAAACGAGTATTACTAACATTCGGCACGAAATAATTTCCGTAGAATAAAGATATCCTTGTGATACTGAAATGATTTGCGAAAATTCTGAAATATACAATTATAGTACCCAAGGAAGTCAAATATGAGAAAACTTTAAAACAAGTCGTAATAGTGCTTTACGACTTTGTTATTAATTTATTTTATTATTATTAATGAACTATTAATTACTTAAGGTTAAATGGTGTAATGGTTGCAGCTCCTTACAAACGTTGTGTATAACAAAAAAATTGGCGAATAAAAAGAGTGGCGGAGAGTTTATTGCCAGTTCATAAGTGTACATATATGTATGAATAAGTTATTTTGACTTGAAGCGATATATTATGTATTCCATCTCTGGCTATATCTTTAGTATAATTGTTTTTTGTTATATATAATTTATGTTAGTTGTAGGATTACGAAATAAATAAATATAGTTTTTGGACTTAATTGTTAAATGCGTTTCAGGTGCCTTCGATGATGAAGACGTGATCCACGTGGACGGAGATGTGAACCCCGTCAGGGATTTGGAGACGATTGGTGAAGAGTTGCGGCTGAAGGATGAAGAGCAGCTGATGCAGAACATTGAGAAGTTGGATCGGGTTGTCGTCCGTGGTAATGATAAGAAACTCAAGCCGGAGTATGTAAGTGATTAAAAAACTGCGGTTTTTTTTCTAAATTTAGAATGATATATATATTTAGCCAGTATTAACCAAGAAAATATGTATTTGTATATAAAAATTATATATATTGGTTTCCAGGACTCCCTGATGAAGATTAAGAGCATTTTAGTTGATGAGAAGAAGCATATTCGTTTCGGAGACTGGAGCTCATTTGATGTAAGTGAATGTCTTATTAACCGACACATTAAAGAGTTATTACTTTGACCTATACCTAATCAATTTGGGCTTCCAAGCATGTGTGCTGAATTTCGTTAGTGTATGTATGTACACTTATTTCTCTGAAAGTTGTGGTTATATTATACTTTATATTTCTGGAAGAGATCGCTTGTTAGCGATAAGGCCGCCCGTTGCATCCCTTATACTTTTTATGTATTATGTTATTTGTTTTTCTATAAATGTAACGAAGTGTAAATAAATGAAAATAAACTAAATAATTGGTTCAGCCATTTTGCCTTTATACATAAGTTATTTTTAATTTCAGATTGAAATATTAAATAAATACCTGTTCCTCACTTCGAAGCCAGCGCTTTATCTTGTGAATTTATCCGAAAAGGACTATATTAGGAAGAAAAATAAATGGTAATCTTTTGTTTTAATATATTTATTACAATACCTCTGATATTTCATTCCATAGAATTCTGACATTTCATAAGTGTTGCTTTCACTAACAAGTAAAATGTATGAATAGACTCAGATGTTCAATTCGTATTTAAATTGAAAAAAGGGCCTGGCCAAAAGGTCTGACTCGTCAAAAAATGATAGCTGTCAGAATTCTAATTCTACGGAATAAAAAATCAGTGTATGGATATGCTCCACAGTTCCACTTTCATTCATTCACTGGTGGCACGATGTTGTGGCCTAAAGATTTTCTTTGATAATATTTTATATAGGCTTTCATATAGAAAAATAATATTTTGTTAGACATATAGACTTTGTAGATATTGAGGTCTTCTATAAAACTGTAGCACATCACTTTGCTCTATTGTCAATAGTTTCCACAGCGAACTATTAAAATATTCACATTCGCTCGAACGGTGAAGGAAAACATCGTGAGGAAGCCGGATTGCCTTAAACCCAATTTTTTTTATGTAAACTTGGAAACTGTCGAAGTCGTGAGTTCAAACCCCGGTTACAATAATGAATTATTGTGTAATATTCATTTTTTTAACGTTTTTTTATATTTTTTTCTTTCTACTACAATTTTATTTTTCAAACTACTCCATTTTTGTTTTACAAACTTTTTAAGGTTTTTTCTCCTTTTTTTTACGAACTTCTACTATTTTTTCCGAACTACAACTTTTCTTTTCTATTTTTATATAACATCTGTCCGTACCTTGAAAGGAACATTGTAAGAAAAGTTAATATATTTATATTTCAGGCTACCAAAACTAAAGGAATGGATCGATAAGAATGACCCAGGTGCACCTTTGATCCCCTTCTCTGGAGTCTTCGAGAGCAAACTACTGGACATGGACCCAGAAGAGAGACAGGCTTTCTTGAAAGAACAGAATGTTACCAGGTATTTTTTTTTGATGTTTTCATTTTATACTACTTATAAGAAATTGCGTTACTTTTTGTGAACACAACATTTAATGTCTTTTCCCGGTCTACAATAATTATATTATGTTATTAATCATCATACAATATTCCCAACAGTAAAATAAACTAAAAAACATAACCTCATTGGATGTCACTCTTTGACATAGAGCTGTCAGACGTCAGCGGCGAAGCGGCAAATTTAAATTAAAACAACTACACTATGTAGTGCAATATTTAATTTAGTTTTCTCCACATTTATTTTGTTTCATATAATTAACACAAAAATACTACAATTGGATCCAAAAGTGAACTCATTAATATTTTTCTATTTGGTATAATTTCTAGTGAAATAATTTCCGTTATTCATAAAAACTAATTTAATCTAATCAACTAAAATACTTTTGTCTCTTTCTGTCAAATTGTGATTACGCTGTGATGAAAAGAGTCAGATGAGCACTTCAGTCCCTTACAATAGAATTTAATAAAAAGGTACAGGGGATCATGATTATAGTTAAATTAAATTAACGATAGACCATATTCGATTAAAAGTGATAAAAAAATATAATGTGCATACATTTTTTTATTATTTCCTTCCTTACCACATGTTTTATCTCTAATACTTAATTCATAGACTAGAGGCAGGCTGGATAGATTAAAAAAAAAGGGTCCTTAATTGTACCGCGGAGTATACTTCTTTGGCAATATTAAAAATAGTTTGGCTTTGTTCCACCTCCAGTTTTTGATGTTTCACAGCGATAAGATGAAAACTCTTTTTTGTATTCAATTGAGCACAGTTACACTATTCACAATTGTTTTTGTCTCTTTTCCTTTATATGCAATTAAAGAGTTTTGATTAAACAATGTTCAATTTTAAATCAAAACTTACTCGATAATAATCACTTAATTGTATAAGCACGAAATTTCTTTGAAAAAATAATTAAAACTCCTTTATTTGTTTAAAAAGTAAATGACAAATGTCATTATGGTCATTTAAAATTGTTGGCATACGAACTTCACGCATATTCTATTTATTTTTACTTGTAGATTGTCTTATTCCTATCTCGCTCGCGCACGCTATAATCACACTCCTAATTTTGTGTCACGGGTGCGCGCGCATTGTAAAATTTCACTCTCATAATTTTTTCATAACGCGCCTAAAGAAGTATAACTTCAAAAATCCATTAATCTAATGATCGTCTGTGGCTGACATATCATATGTATAGATTATCGACTTTTAAAATTAAGTGTGAAAGTTATCTTTGTCGTAAAGGTTTCGAAACCTACGAAATCTTCAAAGATTACTAAATTAAATAAACTTTACCTTTTAACTAACTTCCATTTAAATGGACATGTGTTTGGATGACTTTGTACATAAATGTTTGATACCTGGCATTAAATAAAGTATGATATGATATGTACGATACAAATAATATAAGAATTGACTTTGACTAATAATGTAAAATTCCTTAAGACAAATTTGCGCGCATTGTTTGTGGCAGAATATGCGAACTTACGATTTACCACCTTACATATTTTTACATATTTTTGCAATAGATAAATAATTATATATTTATTATGAAATTATGTAAATCAATATTGTTCTTGTAATGAATTATTTATTTATTTACACTTCGTTGCATTTATAGAAAAACAAATAACATAACACATAAAAATTATAAGAGATCCAACGGGCGTTCTTATCGCAACAAGCGATCCCTTCTAGGCAGACCTAGTAAGGAAAAAAATAAAATAAAAAGAAATATAATTATTACATTCTTTTTTGCCTCTGTTGTGATCTCTGGCAGAATGACCAGCGCTGTGGAACACGTCAGCTCCACAGCATAATGCTGAGCCAGCACCAGTTACAACCACAACGCACACACATTACACAATTCAAATGTACCTTTTTTTTTCTTTACATATTTTTTTGTTTTTTTCTTTTTTGATTATTATTCTTATTTTGTGTGTTTCGTTAGTAATAAATATATGTCTGTCTGTGTCTGTCAAATACAAAGAATTAATTATACATTTCAGTGCGTTAGATAAAATTATCGTCCAAGGGTACAAAGCCCTGCAATTGGAGTACTTCTTCACGGCTGGAGCGGACGAAGTTAAGGCTTGGACTATTCAGGTAAATCAAGTAATTAATATATCGAAAACTTAACATTCCTTCGTTTTCGAATAGTATTCCTATCGTAAAGTAAAGTACTTTTGCCAACCATTAATGTTGCTAGGGGTATGAGTTCAAACGCCGTGTCCAATAGATTTTTTAGCGATTTATTAAATACATGGTCATACGGTAAGCTGAAAAATCCGGGAAAAGTGAAACTTGAATATTAACGTTGTGCATTTTTGATATTTTGGAATGGTTATGGAATAATTTTGCACGAATCGCTTTAATTATCAGTATAAAAGTACTATCATTTATGTGGTAGAATACAATATTTATTTATTGCGCTATCGTACACAAACATGACAATTTATATTACATTAAATACGCCGCGCCAGCTGTCTACTCTCCATCCGTCTTACGAAACCTACACAAAATAATGAATATTAGTATTAAATAATTCAATTAGGAAAATTCACTATTTTTTTAAGTTGTTGCCATTTTTTATTAGCGTTAGTCTGACCAAATCGTTAACAAAAAAAGCTTTAGACGATTTGCAAAATTAAACCTTAATGTATTGACTTAAGGTCCAATTCCACATGCATGCAATGCAATGTATCTGAGGAAAGAGGCAAATTAATTAAAACCGTAACTATATAGCACGAAGGTTTATAATCCTTTAAAAGAACGTCCGTCTTACGAATTTGTCCTGACGCGAGTTTAAATTTTTTTACCCATTCCAAAAATGGGTACAACGCCGCTAAAGAAGTTTTCACTTCACTAATAGTCATACTACGGAATAATTGCATTACATAGCCTTAGTACCTTAGGACAACGAACTGTTATGGTTAAAGTCAGTATGTAAAATGTCTGCCATTTTTTTTGTATTCAGGGGGTTCTAATAAATTGAATGGACTCACATACAGCTACAAGCAAATGATTTAGTAGAGATTTTTTTTACATATCTAAAAATATCCAGAGATCTGGATGTCTGCATTATAGATTTTCTTCGTTATCTAAATAGTATTGACCATTAACGCCAGAGGCAGACACGAGCAAATGATTTAGTATCGATTTTTTTTACCCCTGCAGCTTAAAAATCCAGCGACGTACCTTCATTTTGTCGTTCGATATTTAACGAATCATATACTTTCATGCTCGTCAGCTCCCTAGCTAAAGAAGTCTCACTTATTTTTTGTTTGACAATTTGCTATAATATTTGCAGAAAGGCACCAAAGCCCCTCAGGCCGCGGGTCGCATCCATACGGACTTCGAGAAAGGTTTCATAATGGCTGAAGTGATGCACTTCAAGGACTTCAAGGAGGAAGGCTCCGAAGCCGCCTGCAAAGGGGCCGGCAAGTACCGGCAGCAAGGTAAATAAATACTTAATTCACGTGTTTCGATACCTCTGAAACAGAGCAAGTTTTTTATAAAGTTTATTTGCAGGTAAACAATTTTTAGCCATAAGTACGGCCATAGTTTTGGCCATTTGTTTTAAAATTCAAAATCATTTATTCATTTAGGTAATGTAGCGTTAGTATTACGTAACGAATTTTTGGGGGGCTTTTGTTTAACGTTACGATACGGTGCGGGGATTGAATTACGAATTACGCGTTATTGTTAATATTTTTTTCGACTTTCCTGTATTTACACCACATAATGGCAACTTTTAGGTATTAAGAGTCACTAGGTGGTCACGAAACGTTTTACTATTGTTCCCAGAAAAAAGTTACGGCGCGTTATATGGGGGGGTGTTTCCTCTCAATTGTGTGTCCCCCCCCCCCTTTTTTTCTATAAAAATAAAAATGTCTGTTCCATGTTTTAGGGAGCGTTCAACTATTACGTAACGAATTTTGGGAGGGGGGGACCTTTTGTAAAACGTTACGATGCGGGGCGGGGATTGAATTACGCGTTATTGTTAATATTATTTTCTACTTACACCACATAATAGTAACTAAAGAGTCACAAGGTGGTCACGAAACGTTTTACTAGACTTGGATACAGTACTGTACTTGGGTACTGAAAAACGTTACGGCGAGTTCATGGGGGGTTCTTGAACGCTCCCTTAGAGACAAAAGAAAATAATAAATTTTATCTTCTTTTTCCAGGCCGTAACTACGTAGTAGAAGACGGCGACATAATTTTCTTTAAGTTCAACGCAGGCGCAGGTTTGAAGGACGCAAAGAAGAAATGACGTGACAAAGTCCTCTTACTTCTAGTGCATATGCTATACATGAACCTCGCTCTTTACTCTTTGCTACACGTCGCTTCATTTGACATAAATATATATCGTTAGAAATAACATTTAAGAATTATTAACTCTGTTGTCCTGTGAACATACATGTATCTTAATAACGACTGAACCGATTTTGATAAATGTTGAATAGTAAAGAATAAAATTTTTGTATGATTTTTTAATAAAAACATTTAGTGATAAAAACGTTGTAGAGAAATCCATAAGTCCAAATTGAATATGGCATAGTATCGAAACTATTTGGAAAACGATCCTCTTTCATAAAAAAGGTGTTTAATGCTTTAATACGCCATTTTCAAAGTCAAAAATGTTAGCATTATACAGAATGTCCCATATAACAAAATAGTCAGATAGGGTAGGGGATAGGGGATTTAGTTAAACCAAGAAAATTAGGAAAAAAATTCCAACATTGCATAGTACTTTTTATTTCAACACTGTTTAGTTAGAAAAGAAAGAACAACACAGGCTGTATAAATAATTTTACCTTTTTTTATGTCAATAATTAAAAAAATACGTGACAATTTTTTTTTTTTCATTTTCTGTGGTTAACCAGAATCTATCCTCTCATCTGACTTCGGCTTGACGATAACTTTATCCTGTACAACGCGTATATTTTATTTTACTAAATCGGAATTGTTGTGTCGTGTAAATGAAACCTTTGTAAATTATTAAATATCATAATTTCAGTGTGATTTTGCTAATCGGGTTGTTTCACTCTCACATATTGTAAGAAACAATGTTAGAATGAGATAGCATACTGGGTATGTACCTTGGTACCTTAAATAAAAACTGTTATAATATATATATTTTTTATTTTAATATCCCTTGGTATCCCATAACAAATTTTAAATCAAATTACCTTAAAATATACATATTTATTAATAATCATTAATTTACTAATTATTTAGATAATTTACGACTCGATTTTTTTAATGTAATAGGAGGCAAACGGGCAGGAGGCTCAACTGATGTTGTGATATCGCCGCCCATGGACACTCGCATCAGAAAGCTCGCAAGTGCGTTGCCGGACTTTGTCTAGAGGAAGCTGCTGTTAACAGTTCGACCGACTATTTAAATCCTTTTCTGTTTTGTGGGGTTATTGGAGTATTCTCAGTCCTAGATTTCTTGAGCGAAATTTTGAAATAATTTTTTTTAATTCAATTACATTACCGGTAGGGTCGATTGGAACTTACCAAGAACAAGCGCTATTCGAGTTTCTCGTGTAATGGGCTATTTGACAAGATTTTAACAATTTTGGAATATTAATTATTAGTGATTATAGAATCTGTACAACTTATTTTTTATAATAACACCCAGGGCCGGATTAAGAGGTCTGGATGCCTTGGGGCAACAAAGGAATGGAGGCTCCCTGGCCCCTTTTCAAATAAAATGGACAATTTTTTTCAGTCGAGTTTGTCAGTCAATAATTTATTGTGAAACCGAGTAGATTCTTTTAGTATTTAACAAACATATCAAAATAAAAGTGGTTTACTATTTGGAATTTAAAACATTTTTTTTCCAAAGGCTTAAGTCCCGGTTGCCCTCTCCTTAATCCAGCCCTGATAACAACAATTAATAAGCTTGAAACATTCGTAATTTCAAGAACCCGCCAAAACGCTTGTCTAGACAAAATGGCGTCGCACCTGTCCATATGACGTACGACGCAAATACGTAAACCAACGTCAAGTTTTGTACGAGTTTATTTACATTCTTAAAATAACACATTATATTTCGATTAAAAAAATATCTACGACGCATTATGGTTAGACAAGCGAATACATATTTACAGGCATGCTACTTCATCGTCGTTTCGTCTAATCTGTGACTGTATTGTGTCACGTGACTGACTTAATTAATTTTTTGATAAATTAATTTTTTATACATATTACTTTCAAGAACGCTTTATTTTTGATGGCAAATAGCCTATTACCGACCATAGTCACTATTCGTATGTAAATATTATCTATGCTGTATTTAAATATTTTATACTTTTTGCTTTTGACCCAATTCGATTTAAATCACTTCAACGAATTCTTCTATACGTGTTATATTTTCTGATTTTTCGGTCAAATTTTCGAGTATAAATTTAGTTTGCTTGAGGAATCTTTTAATATTGACTTGTGATAGAACATCTTGGTCGGTTACGGGAGATATTTTTTCTTTATCTTTGCTCTTCTTGAGTATTGTGTTGAGAACGTAGGAGGACGCTTGAGTAACTGACTCCTCCCAGTCCTGAAAAGAATTAATTCTTATATTCTATAAAATATAATATCTCGTAACAAGTTATAAAGGACCCTGACACAGCTACTTAAAAGGGGGGATCTAAAAATTGTATTGCATGTTTGTTTTTGAAGTGATACTTCTTTAGGCGCATGAGGGTAAAATTTTTACGCATGAAACGCAATAATAATAATATTAGCGTCACGAAGTTGTGCAGCGTTTTTGTCTAAGAAAAGGGAGACAGCGATTGAGAGAGAGTGAGAAAAGGCTAACGTAGCATGAAGGAAATAGTCATGGAGCGAGAGTGAAAGCAAGCAAGTGAGAAAGATCGAGAGAGAGAGTGAGATAGAGCGAACGTCGCATCACTCACAGTGCCATCAAGCGAGAGGTGGGAGAGAGCTATAGTGAAAGATTGAGAGAGAGTGAGGGAGATCGAGAAAAAATACACGCTATTGATTGATGTATTCGTTTCACTGACATGTGTACTTTGTACGCACGCACTTTTTTATTTAACAAAATCGTTAGTGTTTTAAATTTTCTAAATTACTTTTATTATTTTGTATTGCATATCCATTTTATACCTGAATATCATCACAGAATGTGTCCAATGATAGTGTTTCTTCGAGTATTTGAATTTTTCCTTCTTCAATACCAGAATTTTTGAGTACGCAAAGCACAAGATGTCCAATTGCACTCACCTCGCACGATATACTAAAGTAAAATAAGAAATAATGTAGTTTTATTAAATACTATTTAATAAACAGTGTTACAACCTCTCGTCCTGAGGTCATTCCTGCATTAAATTGAAAATTTTGTGAGCAAGCACTCGTACGGTGAAGGAAATCCATGAAACCGTGATATTCAAATGGCCGATTTCAGTCACAGAAGGCTGATCATCTACTTGCCTATTATAAAAAATATCACGAAACAGATAGGCATCTTATTCGCAGGCCATAAAATAATAATAATAATTATTTATTTACATCACAATAACACAAAACAAAAGAAAAAATTAAAAAAAGGGTCCGTGTACTTATGTACGCGCGTAAGAAGTTATACTTCTTTGGCAATATTAAAAATAGTTTGGCTTTGTTCCACCTCCAGTTTTTGATGTTTCACAGCGATAAGATGAAAACTCTTTTTTTGTATTCAATTTAGTGCAGTTACACTGATTCATCAATTGTTTTTTGTCTCTTTTCCTTATATTTGCTAGATAAAATCAGAAAAATTACATGTTTTGATTAAACAATGTGGTTAATTTTTTAATCAAAACATTACTTACTCGATAATAATAATAATACATACGGATAGTTAACCTCAATTGTATTGAAGCACTTAGGAAGGTTGATGAGCACAGTTTTTTCACAAATATTAATTAGTATTGGTTTAAATATTCAATTTAAATCACTTCTGATTATAATTCAAAAAGCATCGCTAAATTTCTTTGAAAAAATAATTAAAACTCCTTTATTTGTTTAAAAGGTAAATGACAAATGTCATTATGGTCATTCAAAATTGTTGGCATACGAACTTCACGCATATTCTATTTCTTTTTACTTGTAGATTGTCTTATTCCTATCTCGCTCGCGCACGCTATAATCACACTCCTAATTTTGTGTCACGGGTGCGCGCGCATTGTAAAATTTCACTCTCATAAATTTTTCATAACGCGCCTAAAGAAGTATAACTTCAAAAATACAATAAAAACCTCAAAACTTCACTAAACTACTGAAAATAAAAGCCTTTACAGATTATGAATTTCCTGTGAATCTAAATAATCTAAAATCTGTGGCCGGCTTAGAGAAAATAAAACTTGTATAAAGAATAACTTACCTAATTACTTTATATTTACATGCTAAGACATCTTCAGCAGTTCTAACAATCATTGAATATGTGTCTCGCATTAGAAATTCTAGGGCTTCACAGTCACCCGGTGGCAAGGACCCATACTGCACCAACAGCTTCTTTTGAATGAGAGTGAACTGTGATTGTAAAACATTAAGTTCAGCCTGAAAAGAACATTCATTGTGAGGTTTAAAGAAGTTTATTCTTAGTTACATGAGCAAAATATAGCAAGCCATTCATCTACCAAAAAACTTCTTGAAACGTGCCACTACTACTATTTCCCATATCTCTGGAGGCAAGCAGTTGTAAATACTCGCTCCGAAATAGGTTACATTTTTGCGACCGGTACTGAGTAGGTAGGTAGGTAGGTTCCAAAGACACTTGCAATGGCCCAGTGGAAAGAAAAAGGAGAGTGCCCACCATAAACCTGGGAAGATGGAATAAAAGGGATAGCGGAGAAGGATTGGAAAATGGTAGCGAGGATGAAAGACATGTCGAAGTGTTAAATACAAAAAAAATCTCTATCACTCTTCATTCATTAAATTTTATAAAAAAAATTAAATAAAATATGTTTATTATGGAATATAAGATACATGTATCACTTATTCCACGTCATTAAATTTGAATTTGAAGGCATCCCTACTCATCGGCAAAGAAGACAGAGGGTGTAGGCCGAGAGAAAAAGCCGGCGTAAAAAACTCTCGGTACTCTTTTAAAACAGCAAATCACCAAACAACACTTATTTTAAAACAAATATCGCAAATTAATTAGAAGTAGCCTGTCTAAAAGCAAACTGTAAGCAAAGCTATCAAAAATAATAGTTCATAAACGTATAAATTTATTGTAAGAATCCTCGAAAATGCATTTTGTTTTCAAGCATAGACAATGTGTGGGTAATGTGTAAAAAAGTAAATAATTACTGTTGACGTAATCACCAAATAAGAAAATCAAAGACGCCCCGCCCACATTATCGAAGTTTTCATGCGGCTTCCTAACTTTAAAAAAATATTCTACAGGCCTATGTTCATCAGAGCTGCAAGATTCTAATACGAAGAGATTTATTCAAATCGGTCCAGTAGTTTTAGAGCCTAAACAAACATGGAATGAAATCTTCATAATATTAGTGTAGATTAATCTAAATAACAAAAAAATCAGTGGCTCTACAACCACTTTAGGTCTCGACCTCAGATTTCTCAATACGTTTAATGATCATTTTTTTTCAATCTAATAGGCAAGTAGGTGATCGGCCTCCTGTGCACTCCGTCGAGTTTTTGGTCATGGTTTAAGACATGTCGGTTAATTCACGACGTTTTATTTCATTGCTCGAGCGAATGTCAAATGCGCACATCGAACCTACGACCTCAGGGATGAGAGTCGCACTCTGAAGCCACTAGACCAAAACTGCTGAGTATTTAAAAAAAGTCTACCAAACCTCAAATTTCTTCAAAACAATTCGTTCCTTGGCGTGCATTTCGATGGACTTTAAAAATCGATGAATCATATGTTTGTACAGCTCGGGATCAATTTTAAGCATTACTTCCAAATTATTTATTCCCATTTTCCTGTAATGTTCTTGTAATTTATCAAGGAAGTAATTTAAAATCGGATATATCTCCGTACAATCGTTTCCTTCAACCGCGTATTGATCGTCCATAGTTCTAATTGTCACTGTTTTATTTTTGGAAGAAAACGTAATGCTATTTGGATTAATTGTGTCTGAAAGAAAATATATTTAAATAACAACAAAGTATTTTCTGTGTAAAGTTGAGTATTAAAGTTTTTTATATGCCTATACATATTAGCCGACCTGACAGACTTGGTAGAAATCTTCAATAAAATTTTAACCAAATCAGTCCCACCGTTATAAGGAGTTTAATTACAAACACACGCACAGATTTAAATGTATAAATATATCATTTAATTTAATATTAAATGATATATTTATACATTTAAAATTTTCATAAAATTTTCTAGATTTCCTAGAATTTTACTTTTCTTTAATCAATTTAAAGTAGAACAAAAATTTCAAAAATATAACAATAAAGAACTTGTTATAATAATCCAATGGGGCTACAGCCTACAACGTGGGACTTGGAGTCCATCCGTTCCTTAATCAATATTTAATAGACAAGTACGCCTACTTGTTTGATCAGCCTTCTGTGTTCGTGTTGTGTTGTTTATCTTTACCAAGCAAGTGCTAATTGGGCAAAAAAAAAAACATCGTGAAGCCATGATTAATACAAGACGCCAGAGATTAGGCCAACTATGTGTAAAGAATTTGTCTTAATCCTGTTTCATAGAAAAATCTTAACGTACTAAGTTTGTATTGGGAAATTTGTATAATGTAAAACTTACCTTCAAATACATTATCTAAACTAATACAGCCAAGATTAGTTTGTAAATACAAAATAAATGCATTATTTTCAACAGTATCAACTACACGAGTATACAATGATAACGGTACCAAAACATCTTTAACCAACACATGGATCTTTCCAGAACAATCTGTTATTGTAAAAATAATTTTAACTTTATTATTTGAAACGCAAAAACCGTTGAGAAAAATTTGCGTTTCGACAATCTCTGTTCCATTAATATCGTCTAGGCATACACACGAATCGCTAAATGAAAATGGCTGTTTGCAGAAGTAGGTTATTTGTATATTCTGGATTTGTTTAGGTTCACATGTGAGGATGATTATTAATGAACAGTTGGGTGTTAAAACGTCGTTGATGAAGCTCTCAACTGGTTTTCCCATTTCAATCTTTATTTTGATAAGCTCGGGCGTAGGGATGGATTCTGAAAGAAGACAATAAAATAATGTCTAAATATAGCACGATATTTATTAAACAGGTCGAGGTATAAAGTGAAAAAAAAGTGAGTGCGTACAAAGTACACATGTCAGAAGTGAAACTTTTTTGGCAAACTATTTTTTAACTCTTGTTCATATTTATGCAAATCTAAAACTTTAGATTTCCGAGACTTAGATGGAGGGAAAAAGGAAGATATGTTAGAAATTTAATGAATTTAATTGTCATTAAAATGTTAAAAGTGTCGAAAATTAATACAAATAATAAATTTAATTTATTTTTTCGGTAATAAAAACACGTGGCATTTTAATTTACAACTCGTCATTTGAGATTTCAATAAATAATTTTGCATAAAATATAAAATACTAATATTTCATAAATTCTCTTTACGAAAGTTTAAAAATATAATTTCTACAAGGCAATTCACCTTTCTCACTCTCACTCAATCGGACTCAATCGCTCTCTCCCTTATCATCGCCAAAAGCGCTGCACATCTTCGTAATGTTCCGTAAAAATTTTACCCTCATGCGCCTAAAGAAGTTTCACTTTAAAAACTCTTGTCAGACGATATTACAGCTGCACCGAGTGTGCATGGAAGTGTCGTCGAAATATGAATGGCATAAGCTGGAGAAGGCCTATGATTGGATTCCAAACCTTCACTTAAGTTCCAACCAAACCAAACCAAATTCTTAATTCAATTTTATATATTTTTTGTGTTATGTTTTTAATAAGGTTGAAATTACAATAAAAAGGCTTAATATACTTAGGGAAAGATTTTGACATACGGAAGTGATAGTGAACGCTGAGTTTCGACTTGAAATACAAGAGCGAACTTTGTCTCGCGTGTCAAATTGTCAAATCTTATACGTTTTCACATGGGAGTTGTACTTTGTACTATCCCGATTCTGGATCTAAATCTGATTTATTTTTACCCAAGCAAACTCTTTAACGAATTTATTATTTATGTTATCTAATTCACGTTTGTAAAGTCCGAGTTGTGTATGTAAACAAATTAACACCATTACGAAAGCATTTGCGCAAGCAATTATATTTAACACTAATAATCTTATTCACAAAAACTAAATTAGTCTAATTTTAACAGTTTTCACTAAAGTTGTCTGTCACTTTTCATTACAGCGTAAAGACAATTTTACAGAAAGAGACGATATAATACTTTTTCTTCATTAGCTATGTCGTATTAACATAGATAAATTTTAGGAAACTAAGCATTTCCGTTATTAAATACTAGAGTCTGGCTAACGAAAGTAGATACTGGTTTTTTTTGCAAACTTTTTATATGACAACACTTAAGTTAGTACGGTCAAAATGTCTTGATATTTTTTTATTTTAAATAAGTACATATTAGTTTTAGTTACTTAGGATAATGTTATTGTTCTTTTACAGATAGTCTTAAGATTATTAGCCAACGGTTATGAATTTAAGAAAAACAAAAATGAACGTTCATTATTAATTGAACGATATGATATAGCTGCATGGAGACATCGCTTTTTGCGTACCATTGCATCGAAACGTGCAGAAGGCAAGCCAATAATCTACTTAGATGATACTTATGTCCACAAAACCTATAAGCCTAAAAATTGCAAGCATCCACTAGTAAAATAAAAATGAATGTCAAAGTATCAAAGTGAGTTGATCCAACTTTCCTTTTTACTTTAGGGCTGCCATGCTGATATTTTTTAAATTTGCCGCGCTTTTTCAGTATCAACTTTCATTAGCCAGACTCTATCACTCTGTGCCTTATTTCTCTAGTCTATATTTAATTTAAAGTCTGTTTAAAATACGTATTCTAAATTAATTACAAATCGAAATTATAAAAGAGCAATAGAAGCACGTAGGTACCTTCATTCCCCATAATTTTCTCAAGTGCTTCCTCAACAGCCTCTATCTCCGTTAGGATATCTTCTGGTTCAGCAGCAGCCGTCATTGGTACTATAGTCGAATTCAGATCAGGCTCCGTTCCCAAATAGCTCACACTTATAATTCCATTTGTGGACAGTGTTACAATTCCTCCAGCTAAGTTTTTGAGAAAACAGCGAGATATCGCCATTGTATTATTTAGTAAATCACACGACCATAACAACGCTGTGTCTTCATAGATGAAGAGCTTTGCATCGTCGGATACAACCATTATAATTAATCTTGAATTTGGTTCTGAAAATTTACGTTAAAATAATTATTGGTTTTTACTTCAAGTGGAAGTGGACTGGGCAATATATAAAGTAAGAAGAAATGGTCCAGTAATCTGAGAGAATGGCGTCCATGTTATTATTCACAAACACGATGGGAATTTATGGCGGGGATTCGCGCGCAATGAAAGCGAAAGAAGAGTGGGAGAGTCCTTTGCCACTTGGCAAGCGCTAAGGAGATGTAGCTAGATATCATTATAATATTAGACCTAATATTGTAAATGCTCTATTACATGAATAAACCGCGTCATTTTACTATTTTTAAAATTCAATTTATAATCAGATTAGATTGTTATATCTTTAATATTTTTAAAGTTTATGTAACTGGGAATTCACAGGCACCTAAAGATCGTATCACATCATAAGCCTGGTTCACAATTATTATTAGGCTGGGATGGTTCAGGTTGAATGGTAAGTAGGAATTCCTTTACAATTTTCTATTCCCGAAAACATTACCAACCTGACGAAAATCACGCACGTGTTTTCTGTTTTCTGGAGGCTCTATTATATTATTATTGACTGTAGATAATGAGATCAAATCACTAGTAATGATTAAAAATGCTACCTCCGAATTCTAACAACGTAAACTTCAAATAGCTGCCGATCCTGCACCCTAACTTGCAGTACTGCTCACCCACGAGGTCTTAGAATAGGTGCTTCTCAGTGAGGATATTTAGCAGCAGTTAAGAAACTGGTTTGAAAATGTAAGCTGAGGATACATACCGTAGTACCAACCAATAAGGTAGGCGTAAAAGCAGACGGGCATAAAATCACATCGAATCATAAATTTCATCAATCCATTATCCTGGAAACAATAGAGATATCGCTCTCCCAAAGCGATTATGCTGGAAAAGTTACTGCTTGTCTGGAAGGGAAAACGTGTGTATTACTAATGCTTTTGTTAGAAAATAAAATTTCATTATTTTTAATTTGTTTGAGAAGCATGCTCGTACATACGAATTGCAAATAAAAATTAAGTTGGCGAATGGTAGATAGTACCGGTGACCCCAGAGCTGGTGCTTTCCTCGCTCAACGAATAACTATCGCAATACAGCGAGGAAATGCTGCCAGCGTAAAATGTAATCTTTAATTAGCGCCTGTGCACTTGTAGCCCACATTCCCTGAGTCTCTACTCCAGAGGTAACAAAATCGAAGTTGGAGGAAAGACGTTTATTATTTTCCACCTGCTCTGCGGCCTAGTTTTTTTGCTTGTCCGAGGGAGGTCCTAGGTGGATGGAGCTAACATGGTCGTACAAGTAGCATCCCATACCAAATCCCGCCCTATCTTCCAAGGGATCAACGACATCCCATCCTTGCCATCCACGTCGTTTTTAATTATTTATATTATTATAGGTTAAAAAAATTGTAAATACTATATATTTAATTGTTATATTTAGGTTTTAATAAACGATTTACATTAATGTGTTTTGGATTATATTATTATAATATAATATTATAAATTTAAAAAAATGAAATTTTAATTATACACCTGATCCTTCCTCGAGAACCACACTATCTGTTGTTGACTATTTCAGAGCAATCTGTTAAGTATGATTTAATTTTCAAATATGTAAGGATTACCCGTATAACTTGCAGAGCTGAAATTTCTTCGCCAGGACTATATGTCCATTGCGGAATGTTTTTCTTATTCTGTCGGCCAGTTAGTTCACTCAACTCGCGTAATTGCTGGTAACTAAAATATATACGAATTAAATAATCGAATTAACGCTATAGAAAATTTTCAAACATTTTTTTTTCTAAAGAAATATATCGCTTTTTCTCCTAATGAGTGTAGCTGCAACTGGAAAAGTAATGTTGTAGGTATAAAGTAGTATAATATGAGTTCGTTTCCCGATGAAATACCTTCGTGTATTTAAAATTGATGAAGAAATATGGTTTATCATATGACAACATGCATACTAAGTCGTAAGCTACATGTGACTAAATTACTCCTTTAAATTGCCAAATTTAAACCGGACTTAAGACAGTCCTGTAAGTTTTACCTGTATATTTCCATAATCCACGTAGATTTGCAAATAATAAATACATCACTACTAGGCACATAGCCGATAGGTGTCGGTATTATAATATCATCGAACAAACACATAAAGAGAAATGTGTCTTGGTCGAAAAAACTCAAAGCGCCATCTAACGCTTGAATACAAATGAGGTCTCTGCTTTTTGTTACGCCAAAGGGCCCGACAATAACACTAGACGCTTTTCTTGTAAATGAGTGCTTTAATACGGGTCTTAGGTAATTTTGAACACCTGAAATATCATGTAATCTGTGGGTAAAGGTCACGTCCTATACAAAATAAAAACGAAATGATTCCGTAGTAGGTACATAAGACGACTTCTAGCAATTGTCATTTTGAATATAGAATTCCGAATTTTTTTCTATTTAATAAGTTAGTAAATAATCAGTGGAACTACAAAACCGATTTTTAAAATATCTGTGTTTTCCTAAACAGCAAATTATTTTCAAAATTTGTATTCATTTCTATTTGGTAGATTTGTGTATCCGATCTCTATCTGCTTATATCAAACAATTTACGGTATTGTATTTTTGCATATATTTAAAAAAAAATTGAATGAAATTGTACCTGCATCAATATGTCCATCCTTCTTCTCGAGAAAATATGTTGCATAACTTTGAGGATGCAAAATGAAAATTTGTCTATCACTGGAATCCCTAGAATACATTTTGTTTTGTATTAAATTGTTGAGATAGGTTAACATTTTTTTAGTTTATATTGCATTAATATTAAGTAATGAATGTAAGAATAGAAAATAATTAAGAATTGGAAGAGGCCTTCACTCCGTCGGAGATCGTGTAATATATCTAATATTAAAACCAATAACTTAAACTTAATGTAATTCGTATTATAGTAATCGAATACAGGCTATTTTTATCATGTGCAGTTTGCATTATGTATATATAACTGTAAACAATAGTCTTATATCAAAATTATCTGTATTGTTGGTATTATGACAGTACAATGTATAAAATAAAATAATTGCTGTTCGTTTGTCGCTAGAACTCGCTAATTTTGATCTTGAAATATTTGGAAGTTGAGAGGTTTTAACGATGAAAAACATAATAAATAATAAAAAAAAGGTAACGATCTTAAAATCGGTCGCCCGAAGATACGGGCGTATCATCAGATTCGGGCGACACCGATTTTAAGATCCAACCCAAAAAAACTTTCCGGGAGCCTATTCCAGTCAACCACTACTCGATTTGGGAGAAAGTTCTTTAGGGAATTTAAATTATATTGAGAGGAACTACCTTTTAACCAATGCTTACACAATAAAAAAATATACTAAATTTCTAACGAAAACAGAAAAGTTGCCAGTTCGGCAAATTTGAAGATAATTTTGGCGCGATTTTAGGCACCATAGACATTTAGCTTTACCAGTTTGACAAGACGTATTAACGCTGACGTCTGCGACCAATTAACATAATTCGGATTAAAAAATCTTACAGCGCTATAACAATAAACATGTAGAAAATAAACACAAACAAGAAAATTCATATGAATATATGAATATGTAAAAACTATCCGGTAAAATAAACTTACATAATAAATTTTCCAGTTTCAATCTGTAGGATAACATCTTTTTGGTCAGATTCTAAAATAATATCAGATTCGGACTCTTTGCTGGGTTTATAGATCTTCAATTGTCGTCCTTCACAGGCAATTATGCAGTCGCTATCATTGTGCGAGTTAAATTTATCGACTTTGACGCAATAGCTATTTTGAATACCTTCATCGTATATTTCGCTTTGTAATTTCTCGTTAGACCAAAATGGTTTCGATTTAAATATAGACATTGGTGACTTTTGAGTATTTAGTCGCTTAAGCGTTGAAATTTGTTTACATGATATGTTGGCATAGCAACCATGTATAGTATAGAGTTTACTGAATAGTGGTTCTAAATCACTAAACAAAGTTAATAATTAATTAACAAACGTGCTAGTATTAAGTCGTAATATGCACCTTCACCTAATACTACATTTGTTACCTAAGGTGATATTGTAGAGTGTAGGTTAATTTATTAGCCTGCCTACCCGCCTCAAGTAAAACCACTTTACAATGGGCGCGACACTAATTTGTTTTTACTCTCGTATGTATGGATTATGTTGCTCAGCGTGAGGTTGTGCCATTTATACAATATAATAATATAAAATTCCTTTTAAGACAAATATGCACGCCATTATGTGTGGCAGAATATGCGAACTTTTGATTGTACCACCATAACATTTTTGTACCTACCATATTCTTGCAAATAAAAAAATATTATTGGTATCGGGTGTGGCGTGATGAATGGATTATGCTATAGGTAGAGGTTGTGGCAGTTAAGAAAAATACGTTTTATGTTTAGTAAAAGTCACTCAGTTTTCGAGAAATTTAACATTTTGAAAAATTCGAAAAGGAAGTTAAATTTCAATGCCACTCTTTTTGGTGTGAAGCCTTCAAAACTGCCGCAATGTCCTCTATCCGTAGGTACTATAATATTATCTATTCATTACGCCACACCCTGCATATTCCATGAAATAAATATAATGATTTTGTCTCAGGCCTTGTCGCGCTAATGTGCGTCAGTTCTTTGACTACAACAGAGCATAGAATATATTCATATTATGTGCTACACCGACCTTAGGAGCAACCAATACTCTGTGCATTTGTGGAGATCTATGGATATAAATCGAGTCGCGTTGTTTTGCTGGCTTTGGTTTGGATTGTTAATCGATTCAATTATTGGTACTCTACACTCGTCTCGTGGTTGTTTTTTGAAATTCAGTTTTAAATACCCATTCGTTGGTTAGCGTGTCTACGTAGTGAGTTTGATATCATTACGTTTTTATATGTAGAAAGGTTTAACATATCGTAAAAATGTCCGACATTGAAGTGCAAGACAATGCCAATACTGATAAAGAACAAAGAACTAACGGCGGAGGTGATGAAGGTGATGCATGGGGAAGTCATGAATCTTCCTCAGTTCGACGATACGCTAAGATGCCTGTTGATAAAAATGCTCCCTTCTACAACATGAATCACAAATACCGTGGTATGGCAATAATATTTAACCATGAACATTTCGATATCCACAGTCTTAAATCTCGCACTGGCACGAATGTCGATAGTGATAATTTATCCAGAGTCTTGAAAGGTCTAGGATTCCGCGTCACGGTTCTGACTAATTTGAAGTCGGAAGATGTAAACAGGTACCTACAACAAACTTCAGAGATGGATCATTCTGACTATGATTGTGTTCTTATAGCAGTTCTAACTCATGGAGAAATGGGCATGCTGTATGCTAAAGATACCCATTACAAACCTGATAATTTGTGGTATTATTTTACAGCTGACAAATGCCCCACATTAGCAGGAAAACCTAAGATATTTTTTATCCAAGCTTGTCAAGGGGACAAACTGGACGGTGGAATAACACTCACTAGCAGATCTGAGACTGATGGCTCTTCAAGTGCCTCCTACAAGATACCTATACATGCAGATTTCTTGATTGTGTTTTCGACTGTTCCCGGTTTTTATTCTTGGAGAAACACTACTCGTGGTTCTTGGTTTATGCAAGCACTTTGTGAGGAGTTACGTTATTCAGGAACAGAAAGAGACATACTTACGCTGTTGACTTTTGTTTGTCAAAAAGTAGCTCTTGATTATGAGTCCAATACTCCAGATGTGATGACCATGCATCAGCAGAAACAAGTTCCATGTATTACAAGTATGCTAACTCGTTTACTTGTATTTGGCAAGAAATAGGTTTATTGTAGTAATCCTTTGTTGTTATTTTACAGTAAATATTTTTAGTATTTCTAGAACAAACTATTTTACACTGTTAATTTTTATTAACCTTGAGTTACTTGCATGTTAACTGCTAGATGCATTGTAATTTTTTCTTTTTTCATTGTTTATATGAAGATGATACTCATAGTTGTTTGAGTAGGTGTTATTTAGAATGTAAGATAATTATTTAGAAGCAATTTTAGATTTTATAAGTAAATGAATCTCTATGCTCAAACATTTAGATGTTAATGCACAAATTGTCAATTGCTTGAAAAAAGTACTTAAACAAAGTGAATTAACGCACAATTTGCATTGTAGATTTTCTACATATCATATATTGTAAATGCTTGCACACTGCAAGTATTGCTTATTAGAATGATTGAATTTATTTCATACTTAAATTACAGGCCTGTTAATAGCATTTATATCTAATGTAAGAAATTTCTAAGTAATGGAGATCTGCCATGTATATTTTCTAACTTGCCCATTCCTTAATGTATTTAAAATGCTTCAGTATATTTATTAATACTGATAGCATTGATTTTCTATGTTACTAGCATGGGTTAGTTAAAGCGTGTTTTAAGGACTGATTAAAATTGGTGAAAGTGATTGTGCCTTGTTGAACGACACTTAGAAAAATATGGATTATGAATGAATTTCTTAGTTTTGGTAAGCAAAGTGACATATTTTGTTACCTATAATAAGTATTTTTGTATTTTATAAGCAATACATGTCTTATCCAGTTACAAAACTTTTATTTGAATCTCAAAATTTTGTCAACACATTCATAGATTTGTTTATAACATATACCCTTGCAAAAGTATTTTTTTCTTAAAAGGGTTCCAAAATCTTAAACACTATAACACATATTTGTATTGAATAAACATAATCTTCATAGAAAAAATCTAAATTGAACAACTTTTATTGTAAAATTTTTGGAGTAAAAGTTTATTTGCCTGAAGCCACTACAATTAAGAACTACCACTCCTTTGTCAATATCCAATGTTTACACTAAAATTCATGTCTAGTCAATTGGACAGATGTAATTTTCAATAGGAATAGAACATAATATCAAAGACTTCTGAATTCTTAGTTACTATGGCTACTAACATTACCTATGAATTATAATATACGAAAAATTGTGAAGAAATATGTTAGGCCCTCTATAATATATTAGATTATTATTTACAATTAATTAATGCAAACAAAAAAAAGGAATGAACAGTATATATTATGAGTGTTGTAACTTGTAAGCAAAACAACTAACTCTGCTTGCCGAACTAGGAGTTTGATAAACAAATGATTGCAATTAATTAATTTATTAAAAAAATATAAACTAGCAACATTTTATCCCTTTGGCTTTCTCTTGTAGTTCCCAACATTGATCCCAGAATTGGCTCAGTCTTTGTTCTTGATTTGCACAAAAATGTTTGAAGTCCCTTAACATTCTCATTTGAAAGGGTTCATCGCCCGTTGCAAGTGATTGTGACCACTTCCATTTCTTTGAGATCATGTGATTCCATGACCAGAGGAAACCCATCTGTAACATTAATGATGTGTCATATATGTAAAATTTATTTTAGAAAAAACATTGTTTTATAGACACTAGTCAACACTGTTGTGAGTGACTTAAGCAAGGAAAATTTAGTGTGTTCATGTACACGCGCTTTTTTTTTTAATAAATGCATAAGACTAAAATAAGATGTCTATTATTATTTTGATTAACCCAGTCATTAGTGCAAATGTTATGATACACATAGTTTTTAATTTGCAGAAATGAAAAACGTTGTAAACTAACTATAATTTACGTTTAAAAAAGTACTTGTCAAATTATAATGTACATCAACACAAGTAATAAGTCTGCCTAATATTAAACTAATTATTTGTGTGAACCCGGCGTGGAAAAAAGTCAACAAACAAAGGGTGCTTTGCCGGACTTTTAAACACCGGTTTAAACTTATCTCCCATGGACGACCCTCACCGGCATACGATTCCACAGATCGCAAAAGAAAATGTCTAAAATATAGAATTTTGTTCTGAAGTCCATATTAATTAAACAGTGAAGTACTACAGTAATTGTATATATTCAATCGACATTTTAAAATACATACCCGGCGACTATTGTCGTAGTCATCCTTATTTTTGCCGCTCACGTGACGAGTTATGTAACCCTCGTGCGGACTCGGAGCAGCTTCGGAATGGACAGGATATCTGATAAAAAATAAAAAAATATCTGTCAAAATATCGAACAATTCTAATGATTTATTTCGCCTGGTAAAGTCCAAAAATAGGACTTTACGGTATACCCTCAACAAGCTTAGTATTCACAGGAAAGTTAGGGATACCACTCTAATGATATGCCGAAAATTTCCCATCAATTTTGCGTTGTAAAAAAAAGTTCAAAGGTCAAAGGTCCGTCGGATAGGTTATCGTGTTTTAAAACTCAATAGTTTGATAGCAATATTACTTAAATCTACACTAATATTACAAAGGAATGTTCAGATTTTGTTTGTAATGAAACGAAGTCTATTAAGCCGATCAAAAAAATATTTAACCCACAAAACATCGCACCTTATAGAAGAATAAAAAAAGATTATTCCCGCTTCAGAGCTTGACAAAGGTTATATTAGAACCAGACCATTGACCACGACGGAAACAGAAGGTCACAGACTTTGTACAGTCTAATAACAAATTGTGGGTCCAATATAAACAAGTTGTGTTACGTGGATATACGATAAGCTCCGGTCAGAATTCTCCCGTAAACAATTATTCTAAGAATATGACATTTTAAGATTGACCATATGATCTAAACAAAGGCGCGTGTGACGTATGCCCTACATGGCAAGTGCAATTTATCACTTCATACAATGATTCATTGTTAAATAAGAGGCTAGCGAACTTTTGAGTGCATTTAGTTCATTGCACGGCGCGTCGGGCTATTCACTAAAATATATCGATTAATTTCTATTACGTCATGAAATGCCGTTAAAAGTGACCGAACTCTTGCCCTTAGGCGAATCCACCCGATATTTATTATATTTGGATTATCAAAATTACATTGTAGTACATCTATCACGATCCGTGATACGGATCGCTGGATTTCTAGAAATCTAAAAATCCAATCCTATCAATTATCGTCGATAAATATCGAGCGTCTAGTCTCTCTCGATATTTATCACGTCAGTATTTATTCTCAGATGGAAGAGGACCGCATATGGAGCGGATTTAGAGAATTCATACTTGTATTAGAAACATTACCTATAAGTATAGGCTGATTTAACGTATTAAGTTGCCAAGTCTTAACTAAATTTTAAGTAACGTTTAACTAAAAATATAAATAATTAGTTAAACTCATTTATTCGCTCAAGATGGACACAAGAAAAAATATTTTAGATTTTTCTTCCTGATGGGATTTACTGTATTGTATGCTCCAATAATGATTGTGAAGGTTCTGGGGACTCAACTAATAGTATTTGAAGAAGGCAAGGAGTAAAACGGCTACTATTATTCATTGGGGAAGGGGTTATACTACTGTTCATTAATTGTTGTATACGCATATCGGACAAATAGTTTTGGATATGTTTTTGAGCTTCCACCCGAAAGCAAAACATAGCTTTGCAATGACTCCGCCAGCTTATGCTTTTCACTTAAATTTAACTAAATTTTGCCTGTCAAACTGTCAAGTGATTAGCCACGCCCACCAACTAACCGAAAATAGACAAAATTCTATTCTACCTTGTTTACTTGCAACTAAATTTTAACTTCAATTCTTACTAAATTCACTGTTTACACGGGTTAAGTTACTTAAATTAAGTTAATATTTAGTAAATTTTTAGTCAACTTAATACGTTAAATCGGCCATATGGGACACCTCAAATCAAACAGCAAACCAGAAAATAATTTAAAAAATAACAGATTTGAAACGATCTGGTTGCAGCGGAAAATTTTACAATTCAAAGTCTTGATATTGATGTATATCAGCTATACTGATATAATAATAATAATAATGGCAACGCAAGCTTTCTTAATATTGTTACTCATATTGTAACACGAAATGTACGAGTGTACTCAATGAAATTTACCGTCGTACTGACGCGATCCGTATCGAGTGTGTAGTATACTAAAAAATACAAGATAAATATCACGATAAATATCACGATAATTATCGAGCGTGTAGCATTCGCCTTATAGATGACCGGCGATAGCGAATCCACACCCATATTTATCTATATTTGATCTATCCAAATTACATTTAGTACATCGTATCCATCCGTGATACGATCCTGGATTTCTAGAAATCTAAAAATCCCATCTATCAATTATCGTCGATAAATATCGAGCGTCTAGTCTCTCTCGATATTTATCGCTCAGTATTTACTGCCAGCGATGGAAGAGGACCCATATATGGAGCGGATAATATAGAGAATTCATACTTGTATTAGAAACATTACCTATAAGTATAGGCTGATTTACACGTATTAAGTTGCCAAGTCTTAACTAAATTTTAAGTAACCGTTTACACGTAAAAATACTAAATAATTAGTTAAACTCATTTATTCCTCAAGATGGAACGAATATTATAGAATTTTCTCTTCCTGATTGTATGCTCCAATACATGATTGTGAAGGTTCTGGGGACTCAACTAATACGTATTTGAAGAAGGCGAAGGAGTAAAACCTACTATTATTCATTGGGGAAGGGGTTCTACTACTGTTCATTAATTGTTGTATACGCATATCGGACAAATAGTTTTGGATATGTTTTTGAGCTTCCAGCGCCGAACAAATAGCTTTGCAATACTCCCCACATCTTTTACTTAAATTTAATAAATTTTGCTGTCCAAACTGTAAGTATAGCCACCCACCAACTAACGAAAAATCAAATTTATTTACCTTTTTACTTGCAATAATTTTAACTTGCAACTTTTATAAATTCACTTTTACACGGTTAAGTTACTTATTAGTTATATTTAGTAA